GTGGTAGGGGTGCAAGTTGGACGGGCTGGGCTGGGTTTAAGCTCAACGTAGGCCCAATCCTAAGAATTGAGCCTAAGGTCCACCTTGAGGTCAAGTCCGAACTGTCTAACCCAAACTCAGTCCAAATTGAAATTTGATGTATTTGAGTTGGACTCAAGCCTACGCCACACTGCCACACTGAGGTTGGTCAATCATTCCACATTAACATTTAATATAAATGTATGTATATTTGTATGCATGTATGCATATAAATGATTTATCAAAAAGAATGCATATATGTATTGGCATATACATATATGTATGTACATGGATGGATTGGTTTCAAGGTAGGATAAGGTAAGGATGGGCAAGGACTAAGGCCAGACCCAATCCAAAAAATAAAAAAAACTTGAACTTTTGAGCCCAGACCTATCCTCATCCTGAGGGCCTAAAATCCAAGCCCAGCCTGTAAAAACTTGCAGGCTGAGTTAGTATGGGCTTGGGTTGAGCCCACCCAAATTGCACGCCTACAGTGGAGCGAGCAACAGATCCGGAGGGGCCTTGTAGTCGGAGTGTAGAACTTTTGTTATCGAGCACCAAAGAGAAAGAAGAAATATAACATTAGTTCAATTCAATCAGTAAGTTGGGCTTTGGCCTGACAAGTAACTTGAATTGGGCCCCTGCGTCCGGCCAATGTCCAGCTATCTCTTCCCCTTAAATCATTTAAATAGACAGCTATCTGTACTAATGCATACAAATTTGTCTTCTTTTTATATGCATTATTATAAGGTACACCACCTATCTGAATCTGAAACATTGTGCCATTTTTCACGTGGGTTCTCCAAATTATTGCTACCCATGGCTCTTGTACATCCCCCTTGGTATAAGTTAATGTTACAATAGGTACCATTAATGCTTAGACATGCCATTTAAACACCCCGAAGCATTATTACTCAAAACATCTCCGACCAACCAAATAGAACGTGGAGGAATTTATACTTTGAAACGCCAAATGATACCAAACAGCCCCTAAATTAGTCATTTTAAATTACTTAATTATTAATGTTAATGTTGATTCCAACACGGAATTCAAAATGGTTTAGTCTCAGTGTGGAAGGAGTATTAATACAAATATGTAGAGTTTGAAACCTTGTATTTTATATATATATATATATTTGTATTTGTATTTCCTTCCAAACTGAACCTTTAGTGTATGTTTTGATAACTAGTCCGAACCTATCATTCCTCATCTCTATCCATGCCTAAATCTGACACAGAAAACAAAATTGGAATTGTGAAAATTTTGGGTCATATTTAGAAATGTCATTCCTTAAGGTCATGCCCAACTCAAAGCTCACCGACATACAGGCACGACCAAAGACAACCTATCAATTTCCGGTGGTAATTGCATCTCATTATCTTGTTTTTGTTTTGTTTTATTCATGTTCATGATTTATCCACTAACAAGAATCACGACAAATCAAAATTATTTATAAGCCCTATCATCATTTGATACTGTTGAAGGGAAAAAAATAAAAAAGAAAAAAAACTCTTATGCATAACGTGTGTTTGTGATCTTACACGTATTCAATAATGCCGCTCATATAATAATAAGCTATCAAAATTTGGTACATGAACACTAACCTAAAATTGCATTTGGCATTATTTATCTTAACGCTCAGTTTGAAAGGAGTACAAATACAAATATAAATATGTAGGGTGCAATGGCCACGTGGCAGCAGAGTTCATATAGTTCATGCGTCTTTTCCTGCCTTCCATGAATTTATGAACCTTTAGGCTCCGTTTGGAAGAAAAATAAATGCAGATATATAGACTGTAAAACTTTATATTTTATATTATTTTGTATGTATTTATATTGTACATATTTGCATTTGTACTCTTTACAAATTGAGCCTTAAATTCAGTTTGGAAGGAGTATAAATACAAATATATAGGCTGTAAAAGCAAAACTTGGACTTGTAATATGTACAGTACAAATATATACAAAATATAAGGTTTTGCACTCTACATATTTGCATTTGTATTCCTTCCAAACTTAGCCGTTATTAAATTAATATTCCTATAAATATTGAGTTTTACAAGAAATGCCAAATTCAACATAAATACCTATATAACTTGGTCCCAAATTTGGAAACGTTCAAAGTCATATTGTTATATGCAATGTTTTTGAACCGTCGTTGATCCGGATGGTCGGACCGTTCAGCCCGGAAACCGTTCAAGCAATCAGTTCTGTTTCACCCCTGACCCGCTCTTGGGTTGAAAACCGTTGACCCAGGTGGTCGAACTATTGATTCATTTGACCCGGACAGAAGTTCGCGGTTTGAGAAATTACAGAGTGGGGAGGAGACACGAACTCATATCTGATATCCAGAGAGAGAAGAAGAAGGAGAAGAAGAAGGAGAAGAAGAAGAAAAAAGAAGAAGAAATTGCAAACTTTTTCTCAGATCTCAGACCTAGATTTGAGAAAAGTTGAAAAATCAATCTCAGATCTGAGATCCGAGAACTCATACTTCAGATCTTAGATCTGTCATTGCGCTGTTACTATCGTCGCCGTTGCCGTCGTTGGTGAGCATCGAATCATTCTCCTCCTCTTCCTTCTTCTTCCCTCCTTTCCTCCTTCCCTCTTTCTTTCCTTTTCTTTCTCTTCTTTTCCTTTTTTTTTTTCCCTTTGTCCTTCATTTCTTTCTTTCCTTCTTCTCTTCTTTCTCAGCCGACAAAACTCTTCTCCGCTCTTCCTTTCTTTGTTTTTCATATACTATTTGCTATCTTGCCCTAATGCAAACCGTCCAAACTGTTTGACGAGACGATCGGACCGCAGACCTAGAAACTGGTAGCTAGAATGGTTGCGTTTAAAACCTTGGTTATATGTAGTAAGCAACATTTTAAAAAATGACCTGGAAATAGAATCATTTTGGCCATCAGTTTTCGGGTCGATGACCTGACTGTCCAGTTCAAACGGACAACCCGTTCTAATAAACAAATTAAAAAAAATGGTCAAAACTATTGGACGGGTCGATGGATCGACGATTCAAATGCTTAGATCAATGAATTATTAACTTTTTCAACGATTTTTTAACAAACTAGGTTCGGAATAAAATAGAACCGATTATTTGAACGGTTCTCGGGCCAAGAGGTCCGACCATCCGAATAAACGATGATTCGAAAACTTTGGTAGTAAGAGATATTTGTTGATCCATGCAAAGAAAAACAAAAATAAACATATTTGAGATTTATATTGTCAGACGTAGACCGGTGGTCGGTCAAGCCGTTTGTACCGGTGTTTGACATCAATGCATTTTAATACTAACGGAACGTACTATGCAGGTGTACAAATAAAAATCATATATATGATATATGACATGTGACGTTTAGTTTAGATTTTATTTGAATTATAGATAATGTCTAATGCAAAAATAAAAATAAAAAAAAACAACCATAAAATGGTATTTGCCTAAATTTTAGTTTCCTATAAGTTGCACACTGCAATTGTTGTACACTTTGCATTCAATATCTCATGTGCGTGGCACCCGATGACTCACCATGTACAGCACAAAACCACAAACTACTTAACATAGATGAACACCTTTTATGATGTGACACCCTATTATGATTGTAGAAAATGTTTCAATCTTGTATAAAATTGAATGGCAAACAAGATTCATATATCAGACCACAGAACGATGATAATGAAAATGTTTTAATGTAAAAGCAAAAGGATGTTAATCACCATTGAGGTTTTAAAATTACATTTTCCCCAAGTATTAGTTTGTTTAAAGTAAAAATCTACTTTAACATTACATTTCAATGTAAGACAAGATACATAAGAAATCAAACAAAAGACAAAGCAAGAGTTTTGGTGAAAAAATTCAAATTTTGTATAAACTACTTTTCAAAGTAAAAAATGTGCATATATACAACTAAGATCAATCAATCAAATAGATCTAATTTAAGATACCAATCTTTGATCCTCTCTCTCTTGCAACTAATAACATGGGCTTGGAAAATCTATGAGAAGGATTGAAAACTTTTAAGCTTGAACCTTTACAATTTCTACCAGTTTCTTTTTTTGAAAATTGGTAAATAATCAAGTTTTACCAATTTTTTTTTTACTATTTCTATTTTTTGCTGAAATATATATTGTTTGAAAAATTATTATTTTCTGTGTTATTTAGAAGCTCTATTATGTTTTGTTTATAATATATCATTTTTTTTTGAAAATTTTTATTAATGTTTTGTTTATTTATTTATTATTTTTAGATAAAAATATTTTTTTTCTTTTTTGAAAATTTCATCATATCCTATGTCTTTTACAATTCCTGTTCTTGAATGAAGTATACAAATTTATTTATTTTTCATCTTTATGCTTTTTTCCAAGTTCTAATGTTTTAGATAAAATATATGATGTTGTTCGATCTGAGCCGGCTCGAGTCAAGGATGTAGTGAGATGATCCTACCAACTAGACGAGGCTAAGGTGGAAGGACGAAGGCATGCATTGAGGTGATCTGCAAGCACAAGTAAAGTTAGAGGCCTGAGGAGTTGTTCATCGGGTAGGCACTTTGACGCTAAAGTCAATAATAATGAGGGAAATTAGTTGGGACGAATTGAAGAGAGCAAATTAGTTTGGATTGAGGTGATGAGACTATCACATGGCGTCTTAAGCCAATTCAGACACCACATGAACACCACTTTCTCAGTTCTGAAGTCGAGGAGTGTAGTGCTTGGCCACAGTGGAGCAAAAGAGCTCCTAAGTCCTTTGCTGAAGAACTTACTTATTTAGCTAATTAAGGTTTGGTTGGACCAGACTGGCGAGTTGCTCGACCGGTCTAGATCCTCCCCCGTCACCCCTACGGGTTGTGTCGTTTTGTCTTTCTAAGGTTATGAATGTGCAGAGTACGGCGCTAGATCAACACCGTTGATCTGATTTGATCTCGTCCGTTGGCTACCTCTATATAAGGAAGAGGGGCTAGCCATTTCACTTTGTCATTTTGAGTGAGAGCGAGCTTTGGAGTTTGGAGTTTGGTAGGTGCCCAGTCCTTGGCTGGTGCTTCAAGTGCTCTTCATTACCTACTTCGGTAAGATGTCTTATTCTTCCTCTTCTTCCTCCTCTTCCTCCTCTTCTTTTTCTTCCCGCTCTAGTAGTTCTTTGGGTAGTGAGTTCAAGCCGGAGCCTCAGCAGGAGGTTCTTGTGCTCATGGTTCCTGAGACCGACGCTAACACGATCAAGGTCGAGGGCTCAAAAGGCGAAGAGGCCTAGGTCGAGGGGGTCGGGGTTCCTTGAGGGGCTGACGTCGGGGATATAGACGAAGCTGATGTAGAGATTGTGTTTGAGGGGAGCTTAATACCCCTTCGCAGTTTGGTGAATGCTTCGCGTCCTCTCCTTGTAGCCTAACACCTCAAAACTTGGCCTGTTTTAGGGAGTTGTGTTGGAATCCAAAGGAGTACGAGTTGAGGTGTCATGGAATAGGTGAATGGGCTACCTCAGTTCGCTCCGGTGACTTTTATGTCTATCAACATAGCTTGATTGTTGGGTTGAGATTCCCTCTTGATGCTGGTCTCATGACTATGTTGAGGTGGCGCCGCATCCAACTGGTTCAACTCATGCCAAAATCTTTTAAGTACCTTATTGAGCTTTTTTTCTATTGCACCATTCACAACATATATATCACCTTGTTGATGTTTACATACTTTCTGCACTTGAAGAAACACTAGTAGGGATACTATTAGTTTTTAGCTTGGTCGAATACCAAGGTGATCGTTGGACCCTTCCTCGATGAAACATTGGAAAGAGGGGCTCTTCTTTATGCGTTGTTCAGGGGGTTGGCCGTTCCCTACCGAGTTGATGGTCCCTAAGACGAAAGTAATGACTCTAACCAAGGCCGAGTTGTGTTGAGAGGAATTGGTGGCCATTTATTGGTTAGTTAGGGTAAACGTCCAGGAATACACCTCGTTTGTGATGCTAATCCGTGTTGGGATGATGGAGCCCCCGGCTGCTTTGTTATTACATGTAAGTTTGTTGGTATTTCTTTTTCAACTTATGTGACTACATATTTTCCTCCGCAGAACTACTTATGGCCAACAATGAAGAGGAAAGTGTGTGGCATATGCAGGTGCCATGATGAGGAAGGCAGCTTCATACAATGTTCGGGCAGGAAGACTGACACATGGCGTCCTAAGCCACCTTATACACAACCCGAACAATATATTTTTATCATTTTCTATGTTTTTACGCATTTTTGCTTTTCGGTTGATATATATGTCACTAATGGGCTGTGAGTCATTAATGGGTGGTTGGTACTTAACCTGCACCACCCAATCCATGCATTTGCCACAAAGTTCAAATATTGAATTTTGAAGATGTAATAAAAATATACAATCTCATAAAAATTCATCAGCGGGAGCCAAATGTTGGAATGTGAAAGCTTTCTATGGCAAATAAAGGTTCGAGGACCTAAATTTTTAGTCATGGGGAGACTTGTGAGGAAGAGATCCGAATTCCATTGTAAACAGTCTGAATCAGGACAGATATCGTAGATTCATCTTTGAGTCCCATTATTAAGACTCCGAAGTTTCATTTTCCTCTTACTGGAATTGCCTGATTTCCTGAAGATAAGTTTAATTACCATGTGGATGATAATGTATCCTTTGATTATTTTTGTTGAAATCGGATTTGATGCTCATAAAATTATATTCACATGTTTTCATTATCCTTTTTAGCCGTGCATTGAGAATATTTCCCTATGAATAAAAGAATATTAGTATGAAAATGTTTTCAATGTATGACCGAAAAGGGTTGTGAGAAGATGTGAACATAATTTTGTAAAAACTGAATTTGTACTCATTTTTGTCATCAAATTAGACGTTGGATTTTTCCTTAAATTTATAAACATAGGAAGGATTATAGTATTGTTAGAAAACTTAGGAAAGGTTTCTATACCCCCCCCCCTCCCAAAAAAAAAAAAAATATTGATATTTATCTTTCCGCTTCTCCCCTAAAATTTCTTAAAAAAAAGGAAAATTTATGAATTGATCCTTTATAATTTTTTATTGATTTCCTGATTTTATCTTCCCAAAATCAGATTAAACACACTACTATTCAGGGCAATACACATTAATAAAAGATGATTAGCAACAGTTATTACCAACATCCATTAATATAAAAGAGAAGTTTTAGCAATAGTTCTTTGCCAAAGCGACAAAGCCCAGCACATGGAACATGACTTCATAATGGGCAGCTTAGTTATTCATGCGCATATGGTTCCTTCACCATAACATTTCCTACACTACCCGGCGAGCCCATCTCTGTCTCTTTTCCTCGGAAAAGAGATGATCTCCTCACTCTAATGGTAGCAGGAATTGATCCCCTGCAATAACATATCAGATATCCTACCATCTGGGCCAATTATCAGTTGATCCCGCATGGTTTGGTTTCATCTATTGAATAGATGGCTTGAAATAAGCAAATGATGGTTGCCAATAAATTTTGTATGGGCGCTCCATAGAACACGCCCCGTGGCCATGGGTGTTTCACAGCACATCCCAATTGTGTCTTAGAAATATCTTCTAATAATAAATATGGGAGATGTTCCCAATGTATGCTGAGATGTACGTATAGAATACATGTGGGGCGCACTTTGTAGGGTGCAAATATGAATTCGTCACCAAGGGGCCCCAAGGTATTGCGTGGTGGAATCCTCCAATCCCCACCTCAAATGCTGAGGATTAATGGTCATCGCGTTAAATTTATTACTAGCGTAAAACATTATCAGTGATTCCACATCTGGCTTAACGGTCATCGCGTTCACGTTCAGACAGTAATGCTTGCTCGCTTTAAAATGACAATTTCACTTCATCAAACGGGGAAATAGCAGTAATAGAAACCATAGGAAAGACAAGGTAGGTAGTAGGGCTTGAGGGTTAATGTTGTCGGGACAGTTAAACCACGAGAACCAACCGGCAACAGGCAGCCAAAATGGCCTCTTATTTTTCAAAAGGGTCCGATTCAGTGTCGTCAAAATCCACCTCAGACATCTGTTCCGACCACGTCAGCTTATTTTAATATAAACTAGTTATAACGTTAATTTGAAAACCATTCGTTATATTAGGGGCTGTTTGGCATAATTGCTATTTTCTGGAGCAACGGTGCTACATCAGCGCCATATCGGAAAAAATGGTGCTCTAGGAAACAGACATTTGTTTGGAACCGTTTTTCCACATAAAACGATGCTCCAATTCATACCTCGGAAATCAGGAAGCCATGGCTTGGAGCAACACCAAATTTGGCGTTTCTTGGAGTTGCAGCTCGTTGCTGCCAACAGGACAGTGATGTGGCATTGGATAATGGGTACCAGTGCTGAAAACATTTCCTAGAGCAATGGTACCGAACAGATAAAGTTGTTGTTGCTCCAAGAAGTGTCCTACCTGGCAGCAACGATTCCAAACAAAAATAAAGGTGCTGTTTTCTGAGAAAACTGTGCTCCAAGCCACACACGTCAGCAGCACCACGGTGCTGCAACTGCAGCATCGATGCCAAACATATACTTAGTTAATAAATTAAAGGTCATGTTTGGGAGTGTTTATGTTAAAAATTAAATAAATGCTTAAAAATAAGTGTTTCTTTGAATAAACACTTATTTATATTTGGCATCCATCTTTTTCAAGTGCTTATTTTAAAAAATAAACACTTATTTTATATTAGATATTTGGTGGTCTTAGTGGTTTTTTTCTCCAATAAGCACTCGTGATTCTTTTGTCTTTCATTTTCTTTCAAATTTTCAAAATATCCAATCAAAAGTGAATGAATAAAAGTACTTTGATAGAATTGCTTTCGTAAAAATGTTTTCACAAAAGTATTTTGATAAAAATACTTTCGCAAAAGTACTTTTGTAAAAGTGCTTTTATAAAAGTACTTTCGTAAATGATTAATGGACCATTCTACCCCGTGATCCAATAATGGAATTGAGTCCGTAGACATTGCAAGTAAGATTAGTGTGAATTTTGAATGACGTAAAAGTGACTATAAATTTTAAGGAGAATTACTGTTCAGTCCACCGTCAGAATTCTTAGCCCCACCGTACAATTGGAATAGGTGCCAATTCAGAATTGATGCTAATACACGGGCGAGTATTGGTGTTTAGGGTGGGGTATTGAATTATTATAGGTTTGCAACGAAATTCAAAATTTTAGAGTGGGGTGCAATGTACTTTTCCGTAAATTTTATTTACCAACTTTTATTTGTTAGACCGGTAAGGTGACAAGTGGCTAATTGATAAGATTTAGTGTTAGTGGTAGCGGAGATTTGGGATTGAATCCCGCTTCATGGACTACCCCCGTTGTGTAGCGCAAGGAGGATCTTTTATCTTTTTTTTGGGCTGGTTTATTCATGTACGTGTTATCCATATAGAGTTCTTAGTTGTAGATTGGGATCAATCATGTAAACTTACACGTGAAGCTTCAGTCTGGATTTCCTCCCAATAAAATACATTCTTCACATCTCATTTTCCAATTCAATTAACCATTTAACTTAATTAAACAAAATCAATAAAAACAAAAAAAATAATTAATATCCTGTTATTTTATTAAACTACTTAAATATATCTTCTGTTTTTCAAAATTACTTAAATATACATTGTTAAAACTTTGAGCTTTTTGCATAAAAATTAACAAAATTTGTTGAATTGACAAAATTAAATACGTTTCAAAATAAATTGCAAAAGCCGATAGCGAGAAGAAAAAAGTCTTTAGTGGGACCAATTTGCCGCTGGTTTAAAAGCCCGCCATTCTCTCTCTCTCTCTTCAAAGGATTCTTCTCACTTTTTCTCGTCTCTTTCTTCTCACTATTACCTACACCTCTCTCCCCCAATCTCTAATTTATCTCTCCCATAAGCAAACCTACTTCATGCCTCTTGGCATTTCAGTCTAAAAGAACAAAAGCAAAAGGGGAGTTTGTATCAGTTTTCCATGCCTCTGTTGGTTCTTAGCTCTCTCTGTATGCTCAAAAGACCATTTTCTTTGAAGTAACATGTTCTGCTGTTGAGGGTGTTCTCTCTTTCTATCTGTGCGTCGTTGTTTCTAACTTCTTAATGGAATATAAATCCCATACCACCTTGAATTGACAGAGGTCCCATTTGACATGAATTCATTGGTAAAAACCACCCTTGTTAGATTCTACTTTTAGCATAAATTCTTGTAGATGTCTTAAAAATGGGGTCAATATAGGTCAAATAAGTCGCTAAAACTTTGGTACAAGAAATCACTTATGCATTATTGCGTGGAAAAAAATTCTGGACTTGGTTAACAACTTAACAAGTAGTGCTTCAAAGGGAAAAAAATTAGGCATCATTAGACAATAAATAGATTGGATGGTGTTTTACAGGCTAATACTGAATGGTTGCTTATAGTTTCGAATCATCAATTGCGGTTGCAAATATCTATCACTTAGGTGACAAAATAGTATTTACACTCTCAAATTCATCTAAAACCCAACAGTTTACAAGGTTTTATATGATTCTCGCAATTGTACAGACTATCCGGTATAGTGGAGACCGGATGATGTTTTATAGACTTAGAAACCATTTGGCATTACACAAGCCAAATGGTTGCTTAATTATAGTTACAGTCATCAATTATAGGGGTGCAAATGGGTCAAATCATTATCCAATCCGATCCGAGATTCAATCCTATTTGGTCGAATTTGGATCACTCCTATTCGAATCTTCGAATTGGGTCGAATAATAGGATCCAATAAAAAACCGGATCAGATTTAGATCACCCCCTATCCGATCTGATATATGTTATATATTTATTTATATAAATATACATAATACATATATATGTTATTTATTTATTTTTTTATAAATACATTATTTATATTATATTTTTATAAATTTATTATATTATTTATTTTTTTATAAAAAGCATGAAAATAAACTTCTAATTGGATGTTGAATAGCAAAGTGCATGGTTATAATTCCCCCTACCAGACCATACATTGGACTCTGCGTTCTCCTAGTGTTGTGTTCTCCAAAATCTGATGTGTCACATTTGGGCTGGAGAGTTCAGCTTATTATGCCTAAAATGAATACATATATATATAAATTTATTTAAATATAAAATATTTAATAATATTAATTATAAACATTAAACAAATGTAACCCAAGTTGGATGTTTTCACTAATGGTTGGTTGGTTTTTAGTGACCAACTTCCCAACTTGGCCAAGTCAATTTGGTTGGCCAAACAACCTACAACTGTATCAAACTAACCTGTGAACACTACTAATTTTAGCTAAACTAATAGTTTAATTTCTAAAACATAACAATAGTTTAATCGCCAATAATTATTGACAATTTTCTATTAAATAATAAAACAAAAAGAGATTTATACATAATTATTGAAAATATATTTATCACAAAAATTCAATAAATAATTACTAAAAATACAATAAATATAAATTTTAGTATATATAAATATATAATAAATATAGATTAAAATTTTAAAATTATTATTTATATATATATCAATTATTATTAATTGATATAGAAATTATTATTATATTTTTAATATCTATTAAAGTCATATTTTCAAT